AGTGAGAGAGAGCAACAACAAAGAGTCTCTTGAAGGGCACAGGTGTTCATAGGGACTTACAATATCTGAGCTCCCTGCATGGAATCTGGACAATCATATCTCCCAGAATATGGATACGCTCAAGAGCTGCTTGATCTCAAATACAGAAAACCTTCCACCACCAAAGCTTACAGGGACACTTGGAGGACATGGTATGTTTGGTGCATGAGGTCAAAGTCTCAAATTCATTCATGCCTTGGAAAAACAATTACAGACTTGGGGTGAAATCCTGACTCTTGACATCAATGAAAAAACATCTATGACTTCATTGAAACCAGGATTTCACCCTTTAAATGCAGTCAGGACAGTAAAGTTCTACTTCCACAGAACTTGATCTAAACTGGAAGTTCAATGATGTCTTGGTATTATATGGTGAATCCTACCAAGGGATGCAAAATCTTGTGTTTTAGGAGGATGAAGCCAAATATCTTCCAAGCTTACAGGGCATCTCACCAAGATCCTCTTGAAAGTATAGATGCCATTGCAGAATTGTGACTCTAAAACCTTTATAGCTCTCTCTGTCTCTTCTGTATGTGTGCTATAGCTTTATCTATTTACCTTCTTATAACTGTATGTATAATGTACTTGTGAGCATTTGTAATGCTGATAAAGAATTGGGGTAATTGAGAGGAAAATCAGACCTCAGGTCTCCAGAGATGAGGCTGGAAGGTCAGACTCAACTGGTCCACCTGTCCCTTTCTTCCACTTTGCAAAAGATCTTCTGAAATTCATTTACAGGAAACAGTTTTACACTTCCCTCTTCAGTTCTTTTCCTCCCCACGTCTTCTAGTCTCTGAAGACTATTGACAAGTCAGAGAGCATTTAAATGGAGTTCACCTTAGATAGGATGACCTTCTTAGTTTATCAATATTGAATGTTTCTGCATCAGAGATCCTAGACAAGTGGAAGCTGGAGACAATGTGGTTACAATATGTAAACGGAAGTACATGCCAATGAAAGTCTTCTATTGATCCAGAAAATGTCATTAGTAGCAATCACAGCTTGAACAGTTCAAAGCAAGTTCCTCCATCTCCATTTAAAGTTAAGCAAACCTCTGCAATACAGATGTATCCTATAGTGTTCTAAACCATCCTGAATGTACATTTTATGCGTGGGTTCAGGCCTGGTTTTAAGCACTGTTTTTTAAGCTAAGCCACCAGCTGTCAGGAGGCTTCAGAATATTAGGGACATTTTGCACCCAGTTGGTTTAATGCTGCATCTCTACCCATATATATCAAAATCCAATTATGCTTTCATCATACTGCTGAAAGTGCAAAGGATTCTAGCATGCTTTTAAATGGGTGGGTAATTGTGTCAAATCTTGTCATTATGTAGGACAGCTCTGCTTGGGATTTGAGAGTATTTCCTTCTAATTGAAAAATGAAACATAGGACTGGATTGTCCCCTTCATTTCTGATGGTGGAGGGGGTTCAGATCTTGCAGGTCAGTTTCGTGAGGCACAGCAAAGGGGTAGGTGGACGTCTGCAGAATCGGTCTGTCTTTGGAGCAGGGACAGTATTTAATTTGTGCCAGGGTTTGCCAGGGCTGAGCCTGGGCACCTCTGAGCTTGGCAGTTCATGGCCAGGGCACCTTGGGGCTTGCAGCATCAGTTATGAAAGTAAAAAAATTGCTTGAGCCCAGCACCTAATTGCTGGAGCCCTGGTATCTCTTCCATTTCAAATGAAGTGCTGGGCAGGAACTGTCTTTTTTTGTACTGTGTATGTAACAGAACCTAGTTGGATCCAGGTCCATGACTGGGGCTCCTATGTGCTATCACAATAAAAATAATATTTCTCTTTCTTTGGGATCTTGTGGAAGCTCCTCCACTGGAGCTGCATGGGATTGTGGGGGTATGAAGGAGTAGAGCAGGTGGCAAGCTGTTCTCCACCACACTATCTTTCACTATATCTATGGATTTCCAAGTCTGATAAGGAGTTAAATCTGTCTGAAGCACCATTAAGTCTAGTTAATGGTTGACTAGACAGCCGGTGTGCTGTGACCATTACTTATTACTCTCATCATAATCCTCTTACAGTTACCTTGTGCTTGTCCTTCTGTTTGTTATATTGACGTGTTGTCTCTTATCTTATGCTTAGATTGCAAGCTTGTTGGGGTAGGGGCTACTTGAGTTATGGTATGTACAGCACCTAGCACAATGGGACCCCAACTTCTTATTCGGCCCTCCAGGTGCTAGTGCAATACAAACAATAACAACAATTCCTGTTGAGTTCCCCTCAATGGCTGTGCAGCCATTGGGGGCAGAGGGGAGCCATCCTGCATGCCTTTGCATGTCTAGGGTTATTCCTCGTGGTGGATCTCCAGGATCTACACGTTTGGGAGATTGTCTCCTCTGCAAATCCATTTCTTTAGAATCTCTCTCATATGGTGGGGAAGAAGGTGTGATTGTTTGAACAACTTCAGTTTCTTGATGCCTGTGATACTTGTCTTCCCAGAACTTTCTCTGTGGGAAGGGATGATCTAACTCAGAAACTGATCTAAGGTTGTTGGATTTTTTTAAGTGGTTGCACTTATGCCAGGAACGTATTTTCATTTGTTTACATTTACGTTTTTGATCATTCTCTTTTTGAATCACAGTATAATATTCTTTCTCCATGTGAATGCACAGGAAGCTAAAGAGTTACTTTATGGCAGCTTTCAGAGTGGCAGACCTGTTGTATTTTTACAAAACAGAAATGCTACGTCAATGCACTTTTTAAGGAGCCCTGTTGTGAGTGTGAAAAAAAGAGCTGAAATAAGATTTTCCACTGTGATATCTCTTCTAAGAAGTTCTTCTTTGTGTAATACTTCATGGCAAAGTTGCTTCTATTTAAAGTTTGGAGTTTGATCTTGGCTTTGATCTGAAGCTTTTGATCTTGAAAGAAGGATGTTGTGGCAATAAAGCAAAAAGGGTAGGACTTTTTTTTTTTTTTTAAGGAAAGTGATAAAGTTAAAGGGATACTGTCAAGATTTAGTAGGCACTAATTTGACCTGCCTTACTTTACTTACATCTGTTTGCAGAGTCCATCTAATTCTATATGTGGGAGGGTTTGCTAAAACAAATGCTTTGATGCTCCTTTTTCTTTTCAGAAAGCACAGATTTCTATTTCAAGCTTTCAAGGAATTGTTATACATATCACTAAGTAAAAATTATTTTTAAAAGATTGAAAATACCTTTCCAAGATCTTTTTGATTGAACCAGATGTGATTAATTTACAAATTCGCCCTTTTGTGCATGTTGTATTTAACACTGAAAATTATGAAAGCATAAACAAAATCCCAACTTGTGAATTTTCAGTGTTTTCTCTGGCCCAAGTTGCTTGATTTTGCCTTTCCTCAGAATTCACATTGGACTTAAAGATACCAGTTCAGCAGAGCATTTAAGCATGTGCTTAAGTCCATCCCTATTTAGCAAAGCACCTAAATATGTGGTTAAATTCCATGCGTAATTTAACTATCTGCTTGAGATCTTTGCTGAGGTAGAGATGATTTGCTGAATTGGGACCTAAATGAGGAGTTTCCTGTGCTGTGATATGACTAATACTATGGAAGGATTGTAAGCAAAAAGGGAACTCAGATCTTGCTTTAAAAATGCACTTCAGAATCTCCAAGGGAGTCACCTGACATAATTTTGGATTCCTTTGAGGTCAAAGAAAACTATTGAAAAATTATCTTAAATATTTAATAGAGTCCTAATCTGTTCCTTGAGATAAGGCCATTAGAAAGTTTCTTTATCTATAAATACAATATTTGAGGACTTTAATGTTTGACAAAGAAATTATATTTCTAAATGTTGAAATTGTGGCCTATGGTGGGCAGAGGAGAAAATACCTGAAAACCTTCCTCTGGAATAGGATAGGAAGCAGTCCAAACAGAAGCACTGTATCTGAGATTCTTCCACCCCCAAAAAATGTTGAGGTAGTTCAGATTTGGCTCCAAATGTTTGGGAAAATTGGTTCTGTCTCTCTAATGGGCTGAACTACAACACCCATTCTGAATGCCAGCAGAATGCTGGGATAGTTTGGATCTGGATCCAGAAATCGTGACTCAATGCTTGTCTTTATAATGAGCTAAACCAGATCACCCAGTATCAACACCCCATATAACTTTAAGGAAGTTTGAATCTGCACCCATATGCATATACCCAGGTCCATCTCTAAGATATATGATCCTTTATCCTGGAGTTTGAATCCAAGAGGTCCTGGAGATGCTTAGGACACTACAGTGAATTTAACCATTTAAATATTTTATGGAGGGAAAGGTTTCCATAGGGAAAAATCAAATTGTGGCGCCACAGTGCTGGACAAATTAAGAGTTGTGATCTCTCCACACCTTTATGTGATGGGTTAACAGCGCACTCCAGTCTCTATACCTTTAAGGCAGGCTCCTCCTCTCCGTCTCAGCTCTCGGAGGCTGGAACACAGGGGAGGAGGGGCAGGGGCACCCCCTTAGGTGTTTCATTTCCTAAGGAGGTCTCTAGTGCTGCTCTACTGAAAGAGGCAGGCAGGGCTCACGTCCTCAGCCTGGGGATGCATCGCAGAGAAGAGAGGGACAATACAAAATACATAAATACATGCAAAACAGACTGGCCAGTGCTACTCACAAACCGACAGCAGCCACAGCAAAATAACAAATGCCGGCCGCGTGGGCCGTGGGAAGCAGCAAGCGGGGGGCTGCTGAAGAGAAGTGGGATCTCAGTGCATATCTCAAATCAAGGTAAACCCACACTCTTAGCCCCAGCGGCCCCTCCCCCCCAAAACATCGAAAAGGGGATAAGACTTTTGTAAGTGGCTGGGAGGAAAAAGCCTGTGTTTTTCTGTGCACAGGGAAATCTGAGAGATCAAAGTTTTGCATCAAATCAGGGAGGCTGTATTTGGAGGGGGAGGGAGCAGGAAAAAGTGAAGCCTATTTACAAGGGGCAATCTCGAAAACCTGAATAAACATGCACTTTGTTTCACTTTTAGCCTTTGCTGGAAGAGTGTCAGACTTGGGACCAGTGTCGATTAGTCCGGCAAGTGAATGATGAGGTGAGGAGAACGCTTTCATTTTGCAGCTCTTAATTATTCGTGTTTACTGTTTTCTCCTCTCACCTCTGTCCTTGCAAAGCTGCCTCCTGATCAGGTTTCCCACCTGATCCCCTCTTCCTGTGTTACTTTTAAAATAATTAATGTTTATAAAAGGAGAATATAAACGTGTTTATAAATATCTAAGGTGTATTATTATTTATTAAATAGTAACTACCTGGTCATTTAAAACATGCATTGCTGTTCAGGAACAACAGTTGAGTGGGTGGCTGAAAATAAATCTGTTATTTGAACCCAGGTTGTAAGAAATAGAGAATAGAGATTTTCCCTAGGATTTTTGCACACCAATGATAACTTTCCACTTGGCATCGACCATGCTTTCTTTTTGCTAAAAAACTTAAGCTGAACAAAGCTTGTTTAAATAGAGAGCAAAAAGGAAAATATGCTGCATAAGATGAAGGGGAAAAAACCCTCTTTGACTATGCACACGTGTCTAACTGGATTACTTAAGAGCATGTCATTCTAGACTGGAAAAGTGGATTTTTTTTTTGTTCTTTTTTTTTTTCCAATGAAGCAATGGAAAAATATGTCTTCAATCTGTTTATAGTTTCTTACTCATGCTGGGTAGCTGCACTCAGGTCGCATCTTCCTCTTAAAAAAGCACTATGGTTTTGAACTGCAGGTCACAAAATGGATTCAACTAAACCAGAGAGCCAGAAAAAGGAGCAAAAGGAAACGAAGGCAGGATGAAGTGGCTTTCCAAAAGGTATGGGTTCCTGATGTGCATTTATGTGATGGAATAAAAGGAAGCATATCCTAAACATTTTCAAGGGACACGCTTTAAAACATTCAAAGCACCATATTCTTCTACTATGCTGACTTCACAGAAAAGAACACCATGAATTGATAAAGTTTGAATGTCTGTGTGTTTGCTATGTAGAGAAACTACATTCATATTTAATAAAGAGAGCGAAAGGCATTTTGAGGAAGAAAGATAAGAACACTTTACTTAGAAAATGCTATAGTACTTGAAAGGTTATCGACAGTTACGGTAACATTTATTTGTCAATGAAAAGACATGTTAAACTACAATTAACTGAAAAACATTGTTTTTCTCTCTTGAGAGCAGGTTAATAGAAAATGTAGTGGGTGTCAGTGGGCAATTAGACAAATACAAGATGTACAGAAATAAATGTTATGACTACATTGCTGACACATTTTTTTTAATGTGTGGTTTGAAAGCGTCTTCCATTTGTAGTGGAGAGGGATTCCTGAAAACATGATTGCACTGGCTTGGTGTTTACTCCTAAAAATTCTTTACAAAAGGGTGGGTTGTTTTGTTTTTGTTTTGTTTTGTTAACTTAGTATAGTCTAAATTAATTCCAAAGATTCTTAACCCTGTGATTTTGGGTAAATAATTTTGCTGTAAGGCTACTATAATTTTAAACATTTAATTTACAGTGTAGCAAGATAAGTAACAAGCTGACTTTTCTATTCGATAGCTCTTCTTTGCTGTTTTTTTTTTAATTGCTATCTAGAACACAAAGCAATAATGAATAAAAATTCATTTAGAAATGAGTAACCAGAACCAGGAAAAATGTTTTTTTTCTCACTTTGGATTTATTGTCTGTTTTTTGTTTTAATATTATTTTAAAATCCTTGTTAGCTTTAAAGGATTAAAATAGCAGTATGTTATTTTGCTTCTTCTACAATGCTTCTAGAATGTATGATGAATCATTGCTGATTCTGTAGCCAAATTCTTGTTGATAGCATGACTGCCAACTACTGGGATGTGTTGCCTTAGTATGGGCATTGCAGTATTTGACAAATGTCTGCAAGTACATTATTGTGCATGGGTGATATACCAGCTTCATGGTGAACTAAAGTATGCAATTTGGTCATTTCAAAATGAATTGGAGAAAAATGAATAAATTAATGTATTTTGTAACTGGGGATTCACTATATAGTAAAGGAATAATGCATGCATTTGTATGGATTAGTTTGTGAACCTATAATTTACAAGCTTCTGATCTAAAAGGAAATATCAATAAGTTGTTCTACCAAATATTTAATTTCCTATCATATTGCACATTTACATGAGAGGTGTGTGTGTGTGTGTGTGTATATATATATATATATATATATATATATATATAAAATGAAAAAAAATTGCATATTTAGAGTGGTTTTGTGTGTTCCAGGTATGATGGTGGTTTACTCGATGCTAGTGACTTTTTATGAGAGTAAAAAGTTATAAAATGATGTGAAAGTACTAACTTGAACAAAACCATGTTTTCCAGGTAGAATTAGGCCTGGTCTATGCACAAATTTTACCAGTGCTATAACAATTTTGATTAGGGGTGTGGGGTGTTGGTTTTTTTAAACCAAAATAGTAAAACTGATACAAATCCTAGCAGGACACAGATATATCTGTATAAATGAAACTGTACAGGAATAAGCTTTATCAGTATAAACATATTTATATCACTATAGTTCCATTAACACAAGGGAGCTTGTTCTGGTTTAACAATACTTATGCAGTACATTTGTGTGTAAACAAGCCCTTAGGAATGCAAGAAGTGCTGTATAAAAATCAAGCACCACTCTAAAATAGTAGATGTAAAAATAATCCAAAGAATTGCTAGTTTTGTTTTGTTTTTGAATGGTCATTGTAAGTAAAAGAGAATTGACATTTGAAACAAAAGTAATTGGAAATGTATACACTCTCTTCCTATGCACATAAATATTAGTGATTCCTGGACCATCCCTCCCATGGCCAGCAGAGTTAGCATACTCAGCCCCAAGAGAAGGAAAGAAGTGCTTTTCAGTGACCCTCTGTTTGATGCAAGAACAGCCTTCACAACGCCTGGAAGGTGGAGTCCCATCTACTTTTCAGCCAGAAGGGTAGTGGCTGCAAGGTTGAACATTGAGTTGAGGCTGGGAACTTAAAGAGGACAAAAAGGGATTCTTTGAGACTCTGGTCCCAGCTACACTATGTTAAGGAACTGAGTTTAAACTTGGTTCAAGCTAAAATAGTTTCCCACAAAATTTGGCCAAACTATATTAAAACCGTGTTCTAGACTTTTGGCTGTGTCCATGCTGGCAGGCCAAACCATATTAGAAACAGTTTCAAATGAGTTTAAGTAATATTTCCTACCATGGGTAAAAGTTCAGTATAGAGGGCGGGAGCCTTGAAGAAAGAGAGGAGTGTAATGAGCCTGGAATGGAGGAGGGAAATGAGGAGAAGGGCTCTGAATACTGGCTGGTTATGTATGTGTCACATGTGTAGTTAAAACAGTTACTGAATGTATTTCACCAGAGCTTGAAAATGAAGTACATATTCATCTTGCATATCTGTCAGAGCATACAACTAAACTTTTTAATGTAACTTCTAAACTTTTAATTCTATGCTGTCTGACTGTCTCCTGCCCGTCACTTTCATTTCTTATAATTGTAATAGGATAATCACATTTCCTCTACTGGATGAGTAGCTTTATAGTTACCAACCCATATATAACACCACAAAATCAAAGCAGCTGCTCGTTCTTATGGTCTTTGTAGAATAAGGGAAAAAGAAAAGTTGTGGAGTTGTTGAAAACTGGCAGGGAGTTGCAGTAATTAGGCACCAAGCTGCATTTTAAAGAGCTAAGTTTTCAGGCACTGGCTATAAATATTTTTAAATGAATGTTTGAAGATAACAAATGCTGGATATGGGCTGTAGAAACTAGTAGTGCTAACTGCAATTAAGTGGACTGCAAAACAGTGGGGAAGCTCGTCTAGAACTGTGGTGCTGCTCTCCACAGTGGAGCAGCTCACAATGGATCAAGGCAACATAATGAGTTACCCTAGGTGAGAGCCAGCTCCCAGAGTAATAATTAAAAGTTCTCTCTTTCCCCCCTCCCACCCCGCCTTCTTGTACTATCTTAGGGTATGTCCACACTGGAAACTTCAAAGTGCTGCTGCAGGAACTCTCCCGCAACAGCGCTTGGAAGTGCGAGTGTGGTCGCGCGCGAGCGCTGGGGGAGAGCTCTCCCAGCGCTCCTAGTAATCCACCTCCATGGGGGGATGATCTCCAAGCGCTGGGAGCATGGCTTTTCCCAACGCTCGGAGCCTGTCTACACTAGCGCTTTAAAGCGCTCAGACTTGCTGCGCTCAGGGGGGTGATTTTTCACCCCCCCTGACCCAGCAAGTTAGGGCGCTATAAAATGTAAGCAAAGACAAGCCCTTAATGTTACATTTCATTCCCTCACGCACGTCTTGCATCCTTTTTGTTTCCCTCTTGTTCTTGCTCTTCTCTTTGCTCAGAGACCCTTTTGTCTAATGTTTTACCATTTGTGCAATATTTTCACCTCCTCTAGTTCTTTTTTTTTATCCTCTTTATATCTTTCCTCTCATCTCTTTTCTCTTCTTCCTTTTCAGTGTCCTGTGCCACTTTTTATATTTTCCCCATTTACTTTTGGTCCCCTTTTTATGTCTTGTCTTTAGTTCTTTGCCTTTCCTCCCCTTTTTTCCCCTATCAGTGCTAGTCCTTTGCCACTCCCCTTTGATCCTGTGATGTCCTCCTCCTTCCCGTTCAGTTTCCTCCTACTACCTGTTCTGACATCCTTCCCCGCTTCTCTCATTAGATCTTACTATTTTGCTATCTCTTATTCTAATCTGCAGTGGAGCAGATCCAGCAGATTAGTACAGGCATGTGCACAGCAGAGCAATATTTTCATGGGAAAGTGGTGGGGTGAAAAGAGAAAAGGAGCGTGAGACAGGACTCCAAAAAAAAAAAATTTGATAATTAGTTAATATTGTAATGTGCTTTGAACGTGAAAAGTCTGATGGAAGTGATAAATATTATTATTTTGGGCTGTGCCTATTTAGAGAAGAAGTCCACTACTCTTGCCAATTCTAAGTACTACACAGAAGAAAACAGCATTGAAGTCAGACTAGTAGTGTCATCATATGCATGTGATCTGCATTTACAGGGGAGTTGAAAGGGAAAAATACTCTTTATTAGTAGGCTAGTTAAATTCTGCATGTACATTGCCCCTAAATTTCAGTATCAGTGGTGCTACTGATAGCTGGAGTTCAATATTGAAAATGAAGTATGTAAACTCCTTTTGGAAAGCAGTGAACATCTTATGAGTAGTAGAATCAGTGCACTAAAATGGAGTAAATAAGCAATGATTTTTGAAGGGCACTGAAATAAAAATATATACATTTACAATATATAAAGGAGGCTTAATTATCCCAATTGTCTAAGTTGAGTTTCCCTTGTTTTTGCATAGTGTTTTTAGTTTTTCTTCTGTTGAGACTGAGGGATAAGTCAACTTTTGCAAAATAATTTCAGCTGTTTTCTGATAAATCCTTGTTTTCATCTGTGTAAAGCAATTCCTGCTGGTTACTAAATACGTTACGGTCTTTTATTTTTTTGTTGTTTTTATTTTATTAATCTTTCATTCTCTTTTTGCTCTAATAATGATCAGCAACATTCCAAACTCTGATAATAATCTGAGCAAAACTGACTATGTTGAAACAGTTGGTTACATTTCTAATAAACGCAAAACCTGAATATGTGCTGATGGTGATAACCGCTGTAGCTTTCTCATCCTTTACTCAATTTTGCATTTGTTGTTAATGGCTGAAAGAGAAGAAATGAGTCCCTTAACTGTTTTAATATATGAGTTGTGGTTTTAAGTTTTTAAGTGCAAAAGGGTTACAAAACCTCACAAATAAAACAAAAATGTGTTGAAAGAGGCACAATATCACTAAAGCATT